GAGTTGCATCCCAAGAACACCATACCTACTGTGAAGCATGGGGGTGGAAACATCATGCTATGGGGCTGTTTTTCTGCCAAGGGGACAGGACGACTGATCCGTCTTAAGGACAGAATGAATGGGGCCATGTATCGTGAGATTTTGAGCCAAAACCTCCTTCCATCAGTGAGAACTTTGAAGATGAGACGAGGCTGTGTCTTCCAACATGACAATGATCCAAAACACACCGCCCGGGCAACAAAGGAGTGGCTCCGTAAGAAGCATTTGAAAGTCCTGGAGTGGCCTAGCCAGTCTCCAGACCTCAACCCCATAGAAAATCTGTGGCGGGAGTTGAAAGTCCGTGTTGCTCGGCGACAGCCCCAAAACATCACTGCTCTCGAGAAGATCTGCATGGAGGAATGGGTCAAAATACCAGCTACTGTGTGTGCAAACCTGGTAAAGACCTATAGTAAACGTTTGACCTCTGTTATTGCCAACAAAGGTTATGTTACAAAGTATTGAGTTGTATTTTTGTTATTGACCAAATACTTATTTCCCACCCTGATTTAAGAATAAATTCTTTACAAATCCTACCATGTGGATTCATGGATTATTATTTTTTTTTCACATTCTGTCTCTCACAGTTGAAGTGTACCTCTGGTGCAAATTACTGACCTCTTTCATCATTTTAGGTGGGGGAACTTGCACAATCGGTGGCTGACTAAATACTTTTTTGCCCCACTGTATATTTGTTTTTTGTTAAGTTGCCTAATAATTATGCACAGTAATAGTCACCTGCACACACAGATATCCCCCTAAAATAGCTAAAACTGAAAACAAACTAAAAACTACTTCCAAAAACATTCAGCTTTGATATTAATGAGTTTTTTGGGTTCATTGTGAACATGGTTGTTGTTCAATAATAAAATTATTCCTCAAAAATACAACTTGCCTAATAATTCTGCACTCCCTGTAAAGGCAGAAATTGGCTAAAGCACAGCTACGCTGTGATGAAACAGGTTCATGAAAATATCTTTAAGATGCTTACTTAAGCAGAAGACTTATCAAAATGGGCAACATCTTACAGTGGGTCTATTTCAGTGGCCCTACAGAGCATAACTAGTCAAATTGCTGTCTGTAAGGCTTCTTCAGGCCTAGCAGTGAAACATAACTTTTATGCAGCCTTCATCCATATAAGCACAGGCCACAGTTTCTAAGAACATAAGCATAACTCTATGATATTCCTTTAGTCCACACCAATGACTGTAGAAAACACCTATGAGAATAATGTTATAAACAATGTTTGAGACGAGTAGCATGGATCAGTCGATTAAAAAAGATCTTACTAGCACCAGAGAGAAACAAAATTAATTATGTGGCTTTATTTGGCTCTTAACACCTCAGCTTCACTACTGGAACTTTAACATTATGCACTCCATACTGTACAGTAATGCCACTGTTTTGCACATGTCTCACTCTGTATATTTTATTTATTTTATATATTCTATTCATTGTTTACTCTATTTAATTTGTAAAATATGTGTACACACACACACACACACACATGTAGAAAAATATTTAGTATACACATCCAGAAATGCATATACTATTATATATTGTACATATATTTATTAGTTTCAGATGTAGCCATTCTTATATTTTGCTTGTTTACATTATTGTATTTTGCACAACTCTGTTGCTTGTGAAGCTCGCACACAAGAATTTCACTCACATGTGCTGTACCAATGTACCTGCACATGTGATGTGACAATAAAAGTGATTTGATTTGATTAACTGTTGCAAACATCCAAAAACAAGTAACTGCTTATTTAATTATAATTGATCCAGATGACTGATGTAACATGAAATCAATTATGGGTACAGTAATAAGGATAAATAGGACAAGTCAGGAATTAAAATACAGATGGATAACTGTGTTGGCTTTAATTGAGTTTGCAAAAGAGTTGCAAATATCCCACTGTCTTTAGTAAAAAATTCGAATTATTTACTCAGAATCTTAACAATTACAGCAGTGGGAAAAGGGGGCTGTAATAAAATAATAACTTGCTATTAAAATATAAAAAAGAAGTACAGTTGTGGAAAGAAAATCACAGAGCAATGGAAGATGCAATTAAGGAAAGACTGATTTTAGATGATGGGATGTCATTACAGTGACCATCATATGCACCATTTCATATGATTAATAAGATCTGAAGCCTCGCATTATCTCTGTTTGATTTCGTTTTTGTGCTAATGATAAAAAAGGAGGAGATATGGAGCTCTGCATTTATCAAGTCACCAGAAGGTTGATGACTTTTACGCACTGTGCGCCTCAGCACTCGGCCACTCTGCTCTGCACTTTACTTGCTCTGCCACAAAGTGACTCCTAAACACTTTTACTTTGCCGTATTAACACTTACAGCTAATCGAGGAATATGTGGAAGGAACGAAATCTCACAAACTGTCGTACCACCAATTGTTTCACAAATGTTTGTAGAGGCAAACTGACTGGCTAGATGCTTGGTTTTATAAACATATGACAAAGACACTAAAAACACTCGAATTCAATGAGAACCAGCGCTTTTTGTCCATTTAGTGGATTATCAGAACGAGCGTGGGATGGTAAAATACGGAATGATGTTCTGGAATGATACACTGAGTTCTCACCCTAAGTATTTAGCAAAGCCGATCATATTTCGTATCTTCAATAATGCTGAAAGTGTGATTAAACAAAGCAGAACAAAACTGAAACAAGTAAAATAAATAATAAGTAAATAATATTTCTGCACGTGTGATGTGTATGTGAACTGTTTCACACATATTTCCGGTTTTGTACGATGGGATAGTTTGCAATAAGACAAGCCAAATATAAATGCGCCTCTGCTAAGCCATCGGTTTTATCAAAGGTCACACACCTGCATTTATCCAAACACATTCACCAACGATTTTTAAAGGAGGGGTTCGCCCTTATATCTAAAACGTGTATCGGTTCTCCTTCAGCTGCCTCTCGCTGATCTTAGGTGTCAAGCTGTTTCCGGAGAGAGACACATGCGTAAAACGCGCGATTTTGGCGCTGTTAGTATATATAGTAGACTTTATTAAAAGCTAACTATATGGTTCTTTGTTGCCATCTGTTGTTATGTGGCACACTTAGTGTAATATAAACTTAAGGGTTAGACTTGAGAGTTGAGATGTGAGGTGAGGTGGCGTGGCATGGTAATGAGTGTTACTATATTCGTGTTAATGACAGAAGGGGCATTTTTGCCCAACCTGCCAGGATAGTCAGGTTTGTACGCAACTTGTGTGGCTGACGCGATAGTCCTTTAAAAAAAAACATTAAAAAAACCACGTTTTGACTACATACTGAGTTAAAAGATCTCCTAAAGATGTGGCTGTACATGTTTTCTTAATCATGCTTCTTATCAAGACCAAACTGCACAACCTGACAGGATACACTCAAATGTGCAAAGCACAAAACACATTGAGTTCGGATGCAAATTTACTTTCAATTCTTTTTTTTCTTTTTTTTCAAAACTATGAGCTGTTTCCTATAAGAGCGGCCTGAAAACTGGAGGTTCTGACTCCCAATCTGTTTTCAACGCTCTGAACCACAAGTAACCCTACAGTCTGAGAGTGAAATTCTCTATTGTACTGTGTGGTCTTTGAGTTAAGAGGCCTGATTATACCTTGTATGTAATGCAAAGGGTTTTAATTCCCATTTTGGAATTAACAGGGAGCCAATGAAGAGAAGCCAGTGTGGGTGAAAAATGCTCTCTCTTTCTACACCCTGCCAGTACTCCCGCTGCAGCGGATCAACTGAAGGCTTTTCAGGTAGTTTTCAAGACATCCTGGTTATAATGAATTAAAGTAGTCCTGCCTAGAAGTAATAAACGCATGAACTAGTTTTTTAGTATCACTTTGAGACAGGATGTTTCTAATTTTAGTGATATTCCGCAAATGGAAGAAAGCAGTCCTATATATTTGTTTAATGTGCCCATTGAAGGAAATATTCAGGTCAAAACAACTCCAAGACTCCTCAGTGTTACTGGAGGCCAAGGAAATGCCATTCAGAGTAAATATCTGATTAGACAACATATTTCTAAGATTACAATAGCCTCAGCTGAGTACAATAGCCTCTATGTTATATGAATTTAGAAGCAGAAAATTCGAGGTCACACAGGTCATTATGTCTTTAAGAGATTCCTGCAATTTAACTAACTGTGTTATCTGACTTCATGGATAGATAAAGCAAAGCAGCACATTTGATAGAGTTGATCATGATATTTTATTACAGAGATCAGAGGATGCTGTAGGTATTAATAGTAGATTCGTGTTTAGCAGGACAAGCACAGACATGAGTTCACTGTCTGAAGCCATAAGAAGATCATTTGTAGTCATCACTAAAACTATGTCTGTACTGTGATGAGCTCTGAAACATGACTGAAACTCTGAAACTGAAAGTATTAATTAATGGTAGGATGACAAAATTTGGGATAATAGGTCAAAGTTAAACTGGAGAAGCTTTCACTGGAACATTCTCTATTTATCTGAACAGACCTGTAAAAATGCCTTCTGAGATGCAGCATCACCACCTTCCAAAAACATCGTATTAGCAGAGGGAATATTTTCTATTGTCAAACTGTATTCACAAAGTCTGTAAGCCTGTTTACCTCTTTACAGTTTTGGATCCAACATTGGTGCAGTCAGTGCCTTAAGTATGTAAGAATTAAATTTGGGAATTTGGCAATTAAATAATCACAGAAATTGAAGGAATTTGTCTGTTATGTACCTTTATAGTAATGACACAATTCCTCCTATGTCCTCACAGTAAAAAGTATTCTATATTTAAAACAGTGCAGTCAATACAAAGTTAAAAAAAAGGCTTCTGCGGTTCTGAAACTGACCCTTCAGCATGAGCTGAATGCTTTAACTTTAATGTTTCTTTATCTTAAACCCTCTTTCCTCCTATGTGCTCACAGTAAAAGACTATCTTCACCACACTAATGACCATGAGACTTTGATTGCATTCAATGTTTTATTAAAAGTCAGAGTAGTAGTACGTATGAAAGCACATAATGCAGTCCTCTGCTCCTGTGTGCAGTTTATCTGTATTTCTCAGACAGGGCGAGAGCCACAGCAGCCAGGAACTTGTCCACAGCCACATGGACCTCAGGGCTGAAGTCGTCGGGGAACATGGTGGACAGGACCACGAGGAGGTTGTGAGACAGAACCTGTGGAAAGATGATGATCACATTGAAATGAATGTACTTTTTATTTATTTATTGGTAACCAGAGATCATCATTTCAGATCAACCAGCTACCCAAGGATCAAATGAAAGCTGAGTTAGATTTTAATTTCTGGTTGGATTAATGTTCACAACATGGATAAAAATTACATTGAGAAATGCTGTCCTGATTTAATAATGATCTGTACCTTGAAGTTAGCAGGGTCCACTCTCAGAGTGAAGGCGTGCAGCCCACTGAGGCTCAGAAGAGCTCCGGTCAGATCGTCAATTTTGCTGACAGCATCAGTAACTGCAGCCATCACGGTTGCTCCGTGCTTCCTCACCGGGGCAGAGCCGGGGCGCAGGTCCTTCCAGTGGGAGAAATAAGTCTTGGTTTGAGGGTACACTGTCAGCATCCTGGATAAAAATGTAAGAGAACAAACCAGTGAGTAAAAGACTGAAATGCAGGAGCAGGTTTTTGTAGGCAGTGTGGGGCCATATTTACCTGGAGACAGCATCACAGCCAATTTGTTCCTCCTTGCCAGCCACTTTAGCCCAGAAGGTTTTGACTGTGTTCTTGTCCTTTGCAGAAAGACTAGTCATCTTGCATGTTGTTGCTGTTCTGGTTGGAGTTGCTGTGTTCAGCTCAAACTGTGGAGGTTTTTATACACGAAACAGGAAATGCACACACCCGACCCACCTCACAGATAAGGTACTGGTGTTTGGACAGGTTCAAAATGATACGAAACACCTCCCATGAGATAAACAGACTACAAAATAAAATCTTCATAAGTTCAGGATAACTCATAACAAAGATATAAAACTATGCACTTGTATTTGAGAGCCAGTGAAATGTTTTGATGCGATCTATTGTTTGTTGTTCAGTGTTGTATCACAGTGGGTGGGAATGAAGAAACACGGATTCCAACTTTTGAAATTTTTAGCCATCGTGGCTTCATATTTGCTCACTTGTTTAATATCGGAGTCAAATGGGAAATACTTTTAACTAGTGGAAGTTTATAATAGAGTCTAGTTTTCTGCACAAGTTTCAAATTGAATTATTTGATTAAAAAAACAAACAAAATCATGTTTGCTTCAGAATTAATACATTTTGCCCCATTTTTTTGCCTTATCACTTATTAAATCATACAACCAACACCATATACTTTTAATCTAATAAAAAAAAATGCTACAGCTTTCCTTATCAGTGTTGGAAACCTTTGATTAAAAAAATTAATTTCCATCTTTACAAAAACTTCTTTTTGATTCATTTTGATGGTGGAAATTAAACAGAACTGCAAAGCGTTACACAGAAGCGGCTTGACCGATGCATTATCTAACAGGGGTTATAAAAGTCTAAAAGCTGTTTTGTTACTTCTTTTTAATACTCATTCAGCAAAGAAGTATTACAAGTCATCCCACTGCCCACCTCCACCCAGCTACATATCTTTGGGTGGAGCAAAATGGCTCCTTTATAAGCTGCATGTGGTGACCTGCCGACCAAAGTAGGACATGCGCAACAGTCAACAAGGCAAAATGGTTGCATGGACAGACTTCGAGCGAGCCACAATCAAGGACATCTTTTCCAAGATCGACTATGAAGTCGTTGGCCCAGCAGCTATTTCCAGGTAAGATCATCGGCATAAAGCTGTTTTTATGCTTGTATGTAAATTTACAAATATAAGAGGGCACATTTTGTGCATTAACATATACTTTTGTTTTAGAAATGTGATTTATCCAAATGTTCTTGTTTCCTCAGGTTTTTGATTGTGTACCCCTGGACTCAGAGGTATTTCGCTGGCTTTGGAAACCTCTACAATGCTGCTGCCATCACATCAAATCCAAAAGTTGCTGCTCACGGAAGGTTGTAATGCAAGGTCTGGAAAAAGTTGTGAAGAACAACATCAAGGCCACATTTACAGAGCTGAGCACGCTGCACTCTGAGAAACTGCAGGTGGACCCTGACAATTTCATGGTAAGCAATGCAGAAATGATGGTACTGCATCCCAAGTAATATGTGTGTGTGTGTGTGTGTGTGTGTGTGTGTGTGTGTGTGTGTGTGTGTGTGTGTGTGTGTGTGTGTGTGTGTGTTGATGATTTATTTCATGCATGTTGTGTTGTCCTGCAGCTTCTGGGTGACTTCCTGGCCATTGTGGTTGCTGCTCAGTTGGGTAAAGACTTCACTCCTGAGGTCCATGCAGCTTTCCAGAAGTTCCTGGCAGTGGTGGTGTCCTCCCTGAGGAGGCAGTACTACTAGAGAGCTGCAGAGGACCATCACATGTTCTGTTTTTAAATCATGTTTTAATGAGGTTTAAATAAAGAAATCTGTACTGCTCAAGCTATGTATTTTCTGCTATAGTATGCGTGAGCTCATTTATAGTGTTGGGGGAAAGTCCGCACACACACACACACACACACGCGCAGACATTTTTCAAGAACTAGAAAATAAATCACTATTAAAATGTCACTGTTCTGAAAGAGACAGTAGTTTAAGATGCAAATGACTTTGAATTAAAAAAAATATATAGCATGATAAAGCATTTCTGTTTTTGCTCTTTCATTTGGTAAACCAACAAATTTGGCAAAAACAACTCGATTTGGCAGCTTCCCTTCGCGGTGTCAGCCGAATTCTCGCTTTCAATAAGGTTCAGTGTCGTTCAGCTTTGACTACGTTGTTCTGTGTCATAAATTGGCATAAACCACAGAAACAAAAAATACTCATAAAGTATTGTATGCACAAGTTTTGGACCGGTGGGTCAGCGGTCAGCGCTTTGGGAGGAGAACTGCTTGTGACGCATGTGCTTGCCCACCTTACAATTGCAGGTCAAGGCAGATGAAATACAGGCTACTGTGTGCACAGGTAATGGTGGTGGTGCTCTGTTTATGTCTGTGTGTGACTTGTACCCATGCCCCGATAATTGAATTTCAGCGTCTCACTCAGACCGCCGAGAGTGCCCAGTGTGCAAGGCTGGACTGGGACAAAAAAATCGGCCCGGGCATTTTGACTAGAGACCGGCCCACCAGGATAAAGGTTGAAAATGTGACGTCATTCAGGGGTAAAACCGCAAAGGATTCTGGGAACTTGTGGCAAGACGTACTAGCGCACGCAGGCTTTCAATTGAACTCAGTTACACAGCGATAAAAAGAAACACAAAAAATGGCAAGAAGCTGTTGTATTATTAACTGCAACAGCCGGTCGCATGACAGCCACGGGAAGCCGATCGTTTTTTTTTTAAATCGGATTACGTCCTTGAAGAGAAATGTTTTAAGCCATGTTTCCGAAGTAAGAGCCGACGGATGGTCTGGATATACCAAATATAACTCCCAGAACACTCCAGTTCACATGTTAGTCTGCTCCAAGCATTCCCACAAAGGTCAGAGTTTTTAGTCGTTAATACATCGTTTTTCTTAACATAATTAGTGATATAGGTTACAAGCAAGTCTGGCGCTGAACAGAAATTGTCGCTATGCTCCTTTATTTATTGTGCATAAATAGTGAATTGTCCTGACACAATATTGCGTTTCGCTTCTGTTATTATGGTACATTGACAAAAACATATACGTTTATTCACAGGATAAAACAGTTGTTTTGTATCACTAATTGTCCAGTGCGATTACAACATACAATATTATTGTCACTGCTACATTTCTGTAATGCCTACCAGAAATTATTTCCACTACTAATTAATTACCGTTGAGCTCAAAGGTCCTATTAATAAACAGTTAACGAATGTGTATCTATGAAGACGATTTGTGAGACTGGTAAACTTACCTTTGTTCGTACGATGGTCTTTCGTTCTACACGGTGCATTTCAAGGTCCTGTACCCCTCCGTCAGTAAACTGTTCCTGGGCTTGTTGCAGTGACCTGAAGTTACTAAACTTCATGAGTGTGTGCACTCACTCCAAGAACGTGTAATTATAAATATGAGCGTAGTGAAAGTTGGGCAGCACGCTAACGTATTTTGTCCCTCTGTGTGCTCGTAAGGGTCTGACCCTTTCACTCCTTGGATTTTTTCCTCGTATCTTTTCTTTGTCTTTTCGTCGAGTCTGTCTTTGTACGGACCGGCATTGTTCTCCTTCGTTTTGTACATTCCTTTTTTGTGCGGCAAAGAAAAACAAGAAGGTATTGGAACCGGAGAATGAACGTTTTGCGGTGTTGCAAATGCTTGCATTTGATGCGGTACTTGGATTGTTTTGCCACGAGTTCCCGGCATGCAATGCGCGAAAATCACGTGATTGCTAAACAAGGGGGCGGGTGCATTCGGCCTCCTCGGCTGTAATTGGTCCAGCCCAGAGTCGATCATGACCAATTGGCCAATCCAACACCTTTCATTATATATACCCTTCCTAAAAATAAAATAAAATAAAATAAAAAATCCATCGGCCCATAAAAACAAAAAATCGCCAGCGGCCCACCGGGCAAATGCCCGGTACGCCCGATGGCCAGTCCAGCTATGCCAGTGTGCATGTCCAAACTCATACTCATGCTGAACACAAGCTACACCATTAAAAACAGTCTAAATGTGTGACTTGTAGTCGCTGTTTCTGAATGGTCTGTCACTGGTCATTTAAACACATCTGTGACTTGTATGAGTTTTGGCTATATGGCGGTGCGACGTTGGCACGCAGTCTAGATTTTGATACCTGTTCGCTGAACCATCTGAGAAACCAGTCACTGGTGATGTGATCCAAGTATGATATACGGAAAGCATGTATTGCTTTGGTTATTGCATGTTAGATGGACTATGGGGTCTTTGTGGCCACAGAGACTTTGTTCTGATGTTTGAAAACGAGCATACAGTGTAAACGGAATCGAAGTTGTGGCAAATGACGTGCCAGAATTAAAAAACATACTTAAAACATGGCTTATTTTTTCATACTGTGTGTGGGTTTTTTCATCTGTGTTGTAACCTGTGGGAATGAGCGTATTCTTCTCTACAAAAGCTTGAATAAATGGACACATAGACATTCTTATGTTTGTGAATTTTATTGAACAAGCCCCCACATATGATGAGGGTTGTTGACATTCATGCCACACGTTGGTAGCTTCTGTCTTGATGTTTAGCGGTATCTCTCGGACAGAGCCCAGGCGACGTTATTGAAGAACTTGTCCACGGAGACGTGAACCTCCGGGGTGAAGTCCGCAGGGAAGTACATGCCCAGGACCAAGATCATGTTGTGAGTGAGGATCTGTGTTTGTGACAGAAACAGCAGATTAGATTAAATCAGGCACTTCAGACATCCCTACATTCACTTAGTTTTTTAGTTTTTTAACGCTCACAATCTAAACTAAAGTACGTGCACAAATAATGATTATAATTTCTGGTAGGTTTAAAGGTCGCAATATTTTGTTACCTTGAAGTTGGCAGGATCCACGCGGAGCTGGCTGGCATGCAGCTCACTGAGCTTGCTAAGGTGGTTGGTAAGATCATCAATGTTCTTGACAGCTTTTCCCACAGCTCTCATGATGGTTGCACCATGCTTCTTCACCTGCGGACTGTTAGGGCTCAGGTCGCCCCAGTCAGAAAAGTAGGTCTTGGTCTGAGGATAAGCAGTCAGCATCCTGTAAAATACAGCAGAAGGAAATACGAAGAAGTTACAAAAAAAGCAAAGAAAAAATAAAGAAAAACCCACCCT